TCAGCCAAGAAAAGGCTGGAAATGCAGGCTGCAGCCGACTTCCCACGTACCAGCCCAACTGCCAGCCTGCCGGAGGCCAGCTGCTTGCCTGGCCTGGGTTGCTGCCTGCTCCTTGTGAAGCGCCTGAGCGGCGAGGGGGCTCCTGGAGCCCCTTGCGCTTGCGATCAGCGCTGGACACCTCTCTGGAGCTGCTCTGGGCTGGGAGCCGGCTGCCCCACTCGTGTGCCGCACTAGAGCTGGGAGAGCGAGCTTTCGATGTCCACACCTGGCCTCCAGATGCGCTCACCGTGCAGGGATGGTTACCGCCGCGACCTCTGCACCCTTGCATGGGAGCTGGGGCCAAGGTGATGCTGAGACACCTCTGGCACCAGGTGGCACAGGAGACGGTGACCGTCGTAGGCTCCGGCAGAGCTGCTGCCCCCACGTCAACGGAGCAGGGCTCCCGGACCCCACGGGGCTCCTTGGAGGATTCAGAAGGTCCCTCACGCTCCTTAGCCAGGTCACAGCAACCTCCTCCCTCCTACGACTCCAGGGGCGGACAGCCTGTCTTCCAGCAACACCACTGTGGGGCCGTGCGTGTCCGCACGCAGCTGCCCCACATCCTGCTCCGCAGACTCACCTCAAATGCACACACGTGTGTGTGCAACACCAATTCCCTTCCGGATAATTCGGCCCAAACAGACGGCCCAGCCCTGGCTGGACGCCACATATGGACAAGGAGGGCATCTGCCCTGCCCCTGAGATCTCCCTTAGCTGCCCCCGGTCTCTAGTGTGGCTGAGAGTGAAGGTATTAAGGAAGAGAGGGGTGTCTGGGGAACGTCAGGCAGTGTGCTGTCATCTCGTCCCACCAGTCCCGGCAGTACGTGTCAGCTTGATTTAGGTGACATCATTAATCTCTGGAAGAAGTGTCTGTTAGCTGGACAGAGGTTAGTCGTACGGTGAGCACTGAGGGGAAGGGGTAGGGGCAGGGGGACGGGGGACCAGGTTTGAAAGGACGGTGGGAAGGTGAGCGAAGTCGTGGCTGATTGGTATCAATTACCTGGGCATGCAGTGAAGCGGGATACGTGAAAGCAGGAGGAGGTAGAGCAGGTGCTAACTCCGCTGGGTACAGAGGGTACGGCCCCCACACTTCAGGGCTACTGGGATAAAGTGCAGGCACTGTGAGCTCATCTGCAAGAAAAGAATAAGGAGAGTTAATGGTTACCATGTAGCTGTGGCTCGGACACCAAAACAAGAGAGGCCGAATTGCACCTGCAGCCAAAAGGCCTCGACTGCGTTCCCCTACCAGCTCCCCGTGACCTGCAGATCACGGGAAAGGCACAGCAGAGCCGTGGCAAATCCTGCTGCGGAGGAAGGACACAAGCCCAGAGCTGCTCCGGCTCGGTCCTGTGCTTGCATGAAGGTGGGACAGCAGCTACAGAGACGGCATCCAGGAGACCGCCAAGCAAAGACATCCCTCCAGATGGAGGCAGTGCTCAGCAAAGGGTGCTTTTATGCTACGGCCTAGAAGATGCTGGCTAAATGGAGCCAAAACCTGGGCGGGATTGGAAATAGCTGTGTCCTCCAAGGCTTTCCTCCATGAGACGGACACCTTCGCTCCCTGCAGCGCTGAGCAGTGGCAGTAACACCACTGGGGCAGGCCAGCAGCGATCGCGAGCTAATTCAGAGGACCTGAGAATCTACTTTTTCTTTCAACGGTTAGTTGGGAGCTGTCAGTTTATTGATCCCAGCTTCTTCTAAATAGCCTGCAGGGGACACCAGTCACGAGTGATTTAACAACATCATAAATCCTTTGTTTTCCTCTCAAAACAGTAGGGAAGCGGAGACCAAGCACAAACTTCTGCCTAAATTGTGCAATTTATGAGTCCCAGGGCTTGCATTACTGCCACAGGCTAATCTTTCCCGAGGCTTGTTCACAGCTAATGCTTAGGACCTGATTCATTCATGAGCTTCTCCATAAAAAGCAGTATGCTCGGTGTCACTGTCAGCGGCAGCTAATGAGAAGTAGCGAGAGCAGATGGACTGACTCAGAATACAATGCTGTTATTTAATTCGCCTGCTTGGAAAACACAGAGCTCGGTTTTTCAACTTTTCAGCCTTTAACAAGACGTATCGTGAGGCTAGGTACGCTTCCTTCCCGTTTCCAGGGAGGCCAGATTGGATTCTTCGGCTCTGAGAGGTTTAATTATATTTGGGAATCCAATGTCAGCTACTTTGAAGGGAGAACTTGTGACCTATAAATACGCCCACGCATAAACACGCTTGTGCAACAGAGATGGAAGGAGTTAAGGCTTCTGTTTTTCATCTGGACACAAAAGTTAAAATGGAAGCAGTACTCCAAAGGCAGCACAAGAAATGCTTTCAAATAGCAAAAACTGTTAAGACATGTCTCATGGTGAAATACCCACTACAACAAAACCTCTTAACTCAGAAACTCCCCAGCCCAGCGATGTGGTGAACCAACACTACGAGCTTGTCCTGCCCCTACGCTCTGGGCTGAGCAAGTGCTCCAGGCCGCTGGTGGGGACAGGAGCCCCAGCAAGTCAGTGCATCCCAGCAGAGATGCTCTTTATGGTCTTTAATCTGTCCTAACTGAGGAGAGAGCAGCTCTCCCACACCCATTTCGCAGAGGAGGTGATCACAGCCGGACACACATCGGAGCGAGAGCAGTTTCTCCTGCAACATGCCCCTTTTTTTGCTGTTTTTTGACAGAGCATGGACAATTGTGCTGCCTTTGCCTCGGCTGCTGCTGCCACGGCCGAGATGAGGCCTGCACCGAATATCGCAGCCCAGGGGCTTTGAACTGAGGTGGACGCAGGAGCCCCAGCCGAGCTCCGAAAAGGCATCACCAAGCTGAGCTGATGCTTCGCACCAGCATCTGCCTCAACGGACTGGAAACGCGCAGCCCTTTTGCAACCTGGGGAAGCGGCTGCGG